GCTTGCACTTGCTCTTTAACTGAGCCGGTGGAGCAAAACACCGTCGTATCAAGCGATACTTCATGTTATCCTATCCACAAGCTGTAATATAAAGCAAATCATTCGCTTTTACACGACGACTGGAAGTTCGCTCAGCGACCACAGGATGGCGCTGCTGCTGCACAGAATATATTTGCAAAACGTTTTTATTTAGGGCACTTACATTTTTACAGACTACTACCTTATTTACAAATGCATACCAGTCACCAGTCCTTTCACAAACAGCAAGCCTTTTATAGTATGAATGTCCCAAATCAAGTGGCCCGCATATAAATACGAATTTATATAAACAGATATTCAAAAACGCATGAAATTATGGGTTATCGTTTGTACAATCAGTGTACATCTCACAATTCCCCCATATTTATGAGTTTCAATTTAAAAAACAAAACACAAATTTACCGTAACCACTACATCTTAAATCAAAATTAACACGATAACCGACACATGCCTGTCCTAAAACTTAATATAAATATAATGTAGTCGCGTATACTCACATACTGAGGTAAATCATAGAGAAAGTGCAGGTGAGGCGATCTCTTCACCAGTCCTTTCACAAACAGCAAGCCTTTTATAGTATGAATGTCCCAAATCAAGTGGCCCGCATATAAATACGAATTTATATAAACAGATATTCAAAAACGCATGAAATTATGGGTTATCGTTTGTACAATCAGTGTACATCTCACAATTCCCGCATATTTATGAGTTTCAATTTAAAAAACAAAACACAAACTTACCGTAACCACTACAACATCTTAAATCAAAATTAACACGATAACTGACACATGCCTGTCCTAAAACTTAATATAAATATAATGTAGTCGCGTATACTCACATACTGAGGTAAATCATAGAGAAAGTGCAGGTGAGGCGATCTCTGGCTTTCACTTGCTCTTTAACTGAGCCGGTGGAGCAAAACACCGTCGTATCAAGCGATACTTCATGTTATCCTATCCACAAGCTGTAATATAAAGCAAATCATTCGCTTTTACACGACGACTGGAAGTTCGCTCAGCGACCACATGATGGCGCTGCTGCTGCACAGAATATATTTGCAAAACGTTTTTATTAAGGGCACTTACATTTTTACAGACTACTACCTTATTTACAAATGCACTTCGGTTTTTATTATGATTACAGAAGCAAACATATAATAAATACATATCAGTATCAATCACCCCATCATATTCTAGTGCCTAAATTGTTTAAAAACAGCAGAATAGAAGTAATAGCAATTACTATAGTTGTAATTACTATAATAATAGTTCATATCAGAACATTTTAAAACAGGCAATGAAATCACTCCTTTGGCATTATTTAAAAGCTGTAAATGGGATCAAAAGGCACATTTCCAGTCGTCCGGGTTGGTATGTGAGGATTGCATTCGAAATTACGTCCCACAGATATGCCAGACAGTGGAGAAGCTTTTGAATCAAGATTATGTCGTCTTAGTGTGTTTTGTATGAAAAATGTCTACAGTAGTCTCATGACACTCTCTCAGATCATAATCACAGTATCCTACAGAGAAGCGACCCTTAAAAAAAAGAGGGGGGAAAAAAAAGTCTTTTACATATCCATTATGCAAACACGCACAAATAACCGGTTCTTTTTTGAATATTTCACAGGTTTATGTTTCACTTAGGTGGTACCTTTGGCTTTTTGAAATAATCAAGTCCCCTGCCGATCTTAATAATCCAACCATTATTAAACCTGAGAAGACAAAATGAATATATAGAACAGAAAGAGTACAGACACATTATCTTCCAGTGTGTTTTCTGTAACATACAGCAAATGAGAATGATTTGAGATGTACCTGATCTCCCTGTCATGAATAGTAGATGAGTACTGGATGTCCAGACAGACATTTTGACACTGTAGCGACTGCTTTATTTCTGCAAGGGCACTGGTTCGCTGAGCAGAGCTGTCCTGGAAAACCACAAGATTAAGGTCAACTTTAATGGAAGCCTCTGATGAACAAAATGCTAAACATTGCACATTGTTTTCTGTGTGTGTTAGTCAATGCAAATATAAAACGGTTTGTAGAAGTTGGAGAACCTTACCTCGTCCTGCGAGGTCAGAAGGTGAATCGTCTTTACTTTACACTGGCATTTCAGCAGCATTTCACAGAAACGAAGGAAGTTATACAACTACAAAGGAGAATATTTGTAATGTATCATTCTGAGATATATTACTGCACCTATTATTCACCCTGTAATATAGTCTTTTGTACTATACTGTATATTCAGAAGCATCACTGTAGTCTCTACCTGATGGACATGCCGTACATAAGGGTCCTCCACCCAGACTTCAGTCAGTCCGTCTCTGATGTAGGGTTTCAAGAGGGATTCATAGCTGAAACCAGTTGAACTGTCTGCTATCTTTATCTGCTCATGGTATCTACCCTCTGACAGACGAGATAACAATGAGAAAACTGAGCCAATGTGAAGAGCAAAGGTGGTTTAAGCCAGGGGTCTTCATTCTCTACATATATCTATATATTTTCATGCATAAATACCTAATTTATACAGTAAACGATTAATATTATAATTGTGTTTAAAGTGTTATTTGGAAAATACTGTTTAATAATTTCTCTACATTATTAAGTGTTTTCTCCCTACTCATACTGTTAGATACATTAATGAATTCTTTTATTTATTTAAACCAAAACTGTAGCACTTATTTATTTCAATCCAATTATGTATTTATATATATTTTATCAAATGGGTTTATTTTAGAAATGTATTCATTCATTATAATTTTTAATTTATTAAAATGTATTAATTATAATAAATAATTTATAATAAAATGCATTCATTCATTTATTATCATTTTTAAAATAGTTTTTCCCCAAACTTTTTTGTTTTAATATTAACACCAGTTAAAACCAGTTTGAAAACCCCTGGTTTAAAACACTTTATTGCTTAACCAACCTTCTTTCAGTTTGTTCACATGGTCTTTGATCTGTTCTGCTCGGTCCATGTAGCCCTTGATCTTCTCTCTGTAGCGGACCTTCTTTGAATCATCTTTTACAGCTAGGAAAACAGTGATCTTATTAAGACTACCATGTAATTCCATACATTTACCATTTCCAAACTCTTGGCATACCTTTCAGTACATCCATCAGGAGCTGGATCCCCTCCTGGTAGCACACCAGAGCCTCCTGAAAGCGTGAGCTGTGATCCAGCTCCACGGCTCTCTTTAAGACAGAGATAGCAGAGCTCTCCATGCCCGGGAGGAAATCCTGAGCCATAGCGACTTTCTGTGACAGAAGCAGCAGACTACAACCCGGCTGACGGTTACATGTGCGCTATGTTATTGTGTGGTAACAGAAAATAGTTCTGCACTTGTTAAAGCTCTTTCAAAACGGGGGGGAAATTGTTATGAGAAGCACACCAGTCAACACAATCCATCCAGGAAATAAACCTTAAAAACACTCGACTTTGAAGGGCTTTCGTAATCCAAAGTAACACTAAATCAATGAAGGCATATTTACATATTTAAAATTAATTATACGGTGGCGTGTCAATTTTCTTCGAAGGCAAATATAACTTTTGGAGCGAAAACAACCAGTTTTAAATCAGAAGCTGTTGTATGTTTTTACTCTTCCGGTGGGAACTAAAGTGTGAATACATCCGTTTCTATTATGTTGAAGGACCAGTTCTCGCTTCCGCTGGACAATAAAAGTCCATAAATTACAATTCAATAAAATGGTTCAGCCCAGTTATGTTATGAATTATAACGATGCATCATTCAATAATTTATTGTACAGATATCTACAGAAACTATATTATATATTAAAATTCTATATTAAATCCATATAGGCCTGCTTAAATTTAAACACATTTATTTTTTGCTGCATTAGTGAGCTTTTATGTATAAAAAAAAGCCAATGATTGCAATGTGTGCAAATATGTGGCATAAATATGCTGTGCTTAAATGGACTTATAATAAAGATAACATATATCAACTTTAATTGATTTAAATAAATGCAAAGGTACAACTCATGAAGGAAAAAAGAAATACTCTAATAGTTAGATTATTCCCGTGACACTGTGTCTTGTGTGAAAAAAAAAATTCCCTATAATTTCCAGACATTCTCTCAGATCATAATCATAGTAAATCATAGATACAGTAAAATATCTAAATATGACTGAGGCTAAAAGGGTTGAGAAATGTTTCAGTGAGACAATTAATGTGATTCAAACTGGTTTAAGGGGATGTTTTGTAAATCTAGCATTCAAATATGATTCAGAATAAATTGACGCTACAGGATGGTTTTAAACTGCAGCTCATCTACTGAAAGAAAATGTAATGGTGTTGACAGCTCATAGTGTTGTCAATATTATATTCAAAACTATTGCATGTCATTTTTTATATCGTTAAAATGAGGGAAATTATCTAAATAATTGTGTGAGGACATATGGTTGTTGTGACCGAAAATAACAGCACTTACTTACATATAATAACCCTATTTGGAAACAGATGTTCAATATATGTTTAATCTGGTTGGTTTTGGGGAGGAGGGCATGTTAATGTAATTTTATAAAATTAGTAAAATAAACAATAAATAAGATTAATATTAAGGTGAAAATATTCAAAAAACTAAAAGTAGGTAAATGTGTTTCATGTCTCAAGAGTTTGTGAACTAGTACTTAATTTGCATATTACCTCATATTTTTTTCTGGGTTTTCTGTTTTTGTTTTTTTTTTGGGGGGGGGGAAAGGTTCCATGGAACCATAAATGCCAATTAAAAACATTATTTTTAAGAGTTAAAGAAAAGTAGAAAAATAGAAATGTAGAAAATGGCAAAATATTGAATTAAAAACATATGTACTGTGTTTTTCTTTTGCCCTTCTCTTATTACTCACTGAATCCAGTTTGTATGAACATTTTCCCTCTCATAATTTCTCTGTCTTTTTTTCCCTGCTTGTTCATAAAGGGGCAATGATGACCACAAACAACATCAGGACATGTGAATGAAAAGCTGGCTGGGCCGCTCGAACAGTTTTAACAGCCGAGCAAGCCCGTTTTATTCACTGTTATGTGGGTGTAGTAGGGGGTGTTCTTTTAATGTACACAGTTTAAGAGTTGGGTGGAGCCGCATTTAGTGAGGAAGCACTTTATAGTTTAAATGGCTGAGAAGATTGAGTGAGAGCAAAGGACAGATGTGGTTCGGGCAGCCGTGGTGAGGAAACCTAAAGCCTGCTGTCTGACCAGCACCACAGTAACAGCATACTTCCCATTCTTCCTCCAAACCTCAGACCAGCCACGCCATTTCCTCTCGCCAACTGCCCAGAGCTTCCTCCTGCTTTGGCATGAATGGAGGTTGGAGAGTTGTTCAGTCAGTCTGTGTACAGTTGTAACTATGGAATGTAATTCATTACCATGTCTTTGTGGTGGATCTTTTTATTTTCTGTGGAATAGCATCCTTAGTAAATATGTGGTCATAATATTGTAGCATATGTGTAGTTCACTGCATCCCGCTGCAAGGAAACTGTGTCCAAAATAGCATGTTTTCCTGGAAACTAAAAGCAGATTGGCCTGATCGGGATGAAGCGATGATAGATGTTTAATAGAAGTTCATTTTAAATCTCTGACTATAAACTTAATATTATTAACTGAATATTTTAGACCTTCTAGGCAAACATTTTTTTTTTTAATAAATAAAGAAATGAAATTTTGCTTGCATTGTCATGGAACGTGCAGTGAATCATACGTTGATTCAGGATTCGTCAGACCAATTCAAATCGGTAACTCGGGTTGAGTGTTTTGATTACAAGAAACGACCCATGAGAATTATTTGTTAGTGAATCTGACTATCGTTTTGTGTGCGTGTGTGTATGTGTGTGTGTACTTGTTTATGCTTCATTGTGGGGACCAAATGTCCCCACAAGGATAGTAAAACCTGACATTTTTGACATTTTGGGTGGGGACGGGCCTGCGGTCCCCACAAGGGAAAAAAAAATTAAATAAAAATAGTAAATGATGTTTATCTGAAAGTGTAACAATGCAAACAGGTTTTCTGTAAGGGGTAGGTTTAGGGTTAGGGGATAGAAAATATCATTTGGTCAGTATAAAAGTAATAGAAGTCTATGGAAAGTCCCCACAATTCACAGACACAAACATGTGTGTGTGTGTGTGTGTGTGTTAGTGTGCAGGTTCAAGAAACATTGCAGCAGTGGTCAGTGACGCATGTGTGGTAAGTCATGTCAGAAATGTCATGTATTTAAAATTTCATTAATGTTCATTAACGATCTCATTAAATTTGAGAAATTATTATTGTTAACATTTCTGAGGTAGCATGATCGCACCACCGTGTTCACACCACTTGGTGACCAACTTCTCCAGTTGTTTCCACCATGCATTCCACAGGGGTATTTGTAGTCTTTAATCAGTAGGATAGGACCCCCATCAAAAACATACCTAACGTTTTCAGAACTTTGGCTAACGTTCTGGCAAGGTTCTGAATAAAGATTCTTCCAGTAATGTTAATAGATCGTTCATTCAAAGTTATCTGGTATTTAATAGCTAGCATTCTCAAAACATTAGCACAATACATACCTTTTCCTGAAACATTTTAGTTGAACGTTCATTTAAGAAGATATCTATAGAAACTACGGATCCAAGGCACTTCTTCCAGTTCCAAAATGTTAAAAAGCCTTTATTCAAACATGGCTCACTCTAGAAACATTAAAAATGACTAGAACACTGCACACTGATGCATTTCGGCCATCCAGCCTTCCTCAGAGTGTGTCAAGTACAAAATTAGTCACAGGTGTAGATATAATCAGTTGCTCAATAGAAATGGGAGAAACCAAAATACTCATTACAGGGGGGACCAATAGCATCATTAACAATTTCAAAGTATAATCACATATACAAAAAATATATATATATCTTGATAATAATAATAATGATCATACTGATAATCATTTCACAAATATGGAGTTAAATCTAATTCCTCATTCAAACCAGGAAAAATGGTGGCTTTTAGCTGAAAAATCCAAAAGGCTTCCCTTTGTAGAAGTCTTTGTAATCTATCACCCTTTCTAATCGATCCAGTTACAATTTCCAAACCAATAATTCTTAAAGTAGACGGATTTGAGTCATGTGCAGATGCATAATGTACTGCCATGGGGTAATCTTTGTTTCTTGTACGAATTGCATTTTTGTGATCCCATAATCTATCTTGCAGTCTACGTTTAGTCTGACCCACATAGAAACAGTTACAAGGACATTGAAGCCTATAAATTACATGCGTACTTTTACAATTAATGAAGGATCCAATTAAATACAGTTTCTTTGTGCAAACATCCATAAATGATTTAGTTTGAATTACATTGTCACAATGATTGCAATGTCCACACTTAAACATGCCTCGTATTCCTCTGTCCAACCATGTTGTCTGTTTCATAGCAGGCAAGTGACTTCTCACAACTCTGTCTTTAATTGTAGGAGCCTTTCTATAGCTCACAATTGGAGGCTCCTGAAAAATCTCGCATAGACTTAGATCACTTTGGATAATCCCCCAGTTCCTTTTTATTATACGCACGATGTCATGTGAGACAGTACTGAATTCCAATAACAAAATACGGTCGTGTGGAGCTGTTCTTCTTGCTTTTCTTGTTGAGTAGGTCATCCTGTTGTAGTGGTGACACTTTATTCAAAGCCTGATCGACCACTCTTTTCTGATAGCCTCTCTGTTTAAAACGCTATTTCATATCCAGGTAATCTTTGTTTCTTGTACGAATTGCATTTTTGTGATCCCATAATCTATCTTGCAGTCTACGTTTAGTCTGACCCACATAGAAACAGTTACAAGGACATTGAAGCCTATAAATTACATGCGTACTTTTACAATTAATGAAGGATCCAATTAAATAAAGTTTCTTTGTGCAAACATCCATAAATGATTTAGTTTGAATTACATTCTCACAATGATTGCATCTGATAGCCTCTCTGTTTAAAACAATATTTCATATCCATAGCCAGACGATTAAAATCAGAGTCTTGATCACATATCCGTCTTAATCTTTGGAATTGACCCAGTGGAATGCTTTCTGTCAGATGTTTTGGATGAAAGCTCTTTGCATGAAAAATGGTGTTACGGTCTGTATTCTTTCTGAAAAGTGAAGTATGTAGACACCCATCTTGATCTTTATAAATAGAAATGTCTAAAAAATTTATTTTCTCCTGATTGTATTCAAGGCTCAACTTAATGCATGTATTTATGGAATTAAAAAATGCATGAAAATTTCGTAATTCGGTTTCATCTCCTTCAAAAATCATGCAGATGTCATCAATATATCTGGTCCACCATTTTATTTTCGTAAAAAAAGGATTAGTCGTAGCATTAAACACATACTCCTCCTCCCACTGTCCCAAAAAAAGATTGGCATAATTTGGTGCAAAACATGCTCCCATAGCCGTACCTTTAACCTGTTGGAAAAAGTTATCTTCAAACACAAACACATTATGTTTCGAAGTCCATTCCGTTAGTGTCAGGATAAATTCTGCTGGAGGACTGTCATCCATCAATCCAGATGTTAAGTAATATCTTAAGGCTCGAAGGCCCTCATCATGGTTGATGTTAGTATATAAAGCCTCCACGTCCATAACTACCAACAGAGAG